AATATTGCTTTTCAGCTGCTGCTAAGCAATGCAAAGGTTTGAAGAAGCTCCAATGTTTTTTTTTTACAGTGCAGACAGAATTAAGATGTTTAAAACCACAGTCAGTTCCTTCCCTAAAACCTTATACAGTGTTGCCTTAAGATAGGGGTATGAAACTAAACGTCTGTGCATGTAAATATTACATGATCTGACTGATGAAATCATTACCAACTCTAAAAACACTAGAGCTGTTTTCAGTCAGTGGACAAAGTGTCGAATGATGGACTCCCACTGCTGAACAGGCTTGAATGTTATTGTAACAATTGGACCAGGCTCAGTATTAAGATGATTCATTTGACCAATATTGAGATTTAACAATACTTAAAATTGTCAACAATGGGTGGTGAGGTTGCTCGAGGACCCAGATGCAGAGACGAGTGAAGCAGAGATGAGTTCTGAGAGGTTTAATGGCAGACCAAAGGTAGCAGAGGCAGAAATCCAAAAAATCCAACTTAAAATATTAAACAAACCAAAACTATGGAGACATCAGGGGAAAAAACGAGTCTGAGGAGCCGGGGAGAGACGAGCAGAGTAGACAATACAGCAACGAGAAGGAACCAGCACTGAGTGACTGCAGAGGTGGAGTATTTAAGGAGAACCAAACAAAAGGATGGACTAACGAGCTGAATGGGGAGCAGGTGTGGGTGGAACTGGCAAGAGGGAATCCAAGGGGAAAGAAAACCATCACAAGGGGGCAACAGAGAGTAACTAAAGAATGCTTGAAGATCATGGAAAATAAAAACAACTGATAACAGAAAACTGAAAACTCAGAGTCACAACAAATAAGAACCATAACAAAAATATAGGAAAGCAGGTATTATCAGGGTCTCCATCATCAAAACAATAAACAAAATGCCCATTCTGGCAAAATATTACAATCACTAACAACTACCAGAAAAAAAAAGATTGAAATCGACCTTTAGTCAAAAATAAAGATTTATGGCTTTATGAGATTATGAGTTTATCAAATCTGGACCCATACAACCATCCTTTTTGGGTTAGGGTTGGACTTGTAAACTTTTTTTAACTTTCACTTCATCAACAGAAACATTTCAGTTAAAGACATCATTTTTCTCAAAGTAAAAACCATTAAACAAATTTAACAAATGAGCAAAAACCAAAAATCCTTCTAATGATTCATCAGAAGGAATATTTATCAGACTGTTAATAATCAAGCATTCATCTTTTTATGTCTCTCTGACCTGAAATTACTTTCTATTTGTCTTCTTAATCTTCCAAAGGCTCTGGGTCTAGATTCCTGTTTTGGATTCATTTAGATTTCTTTAAGTCTTTATGTTGCTGTTTTTAGCTATTTTTATTTTTCTCATTTTCTTCATTATCTTCTTCATTTATTTCAGCAAAGCCTCAAATGTGAACAATAATTCCTTTATTTTACATGTAATGACACGTTGGACCTTAACTCGGACAGAATCATTAAATCCAAGTAGGAAAGGTTAGAATTTATTTCAATAATCATCAAAAGCACAAACATGTAAATAAGATTATTATAAACTAAAGTAATAAATCCTGTAACTGACTGAGTTGTGATAATGATGATAAAGTTAGTTTAATGATTTCTTTTTGTCTCAGAAACATTGGATCCTAACAGCAGGATTAGTTTCTCTCTTTGACGTTTCTCTGTGTTCAAGCAGCAGCAGCTTTATTCTGCACTGAGCCCAGTTTCATCCTCTGATGACGACTTCAGTGTCTCCATGAAGGAACCAACTGTCAATATCATCAATATAGAGGTATATATATCAACTAATGAGACATCAAATCAAACACATCAAGGAGACTGACCTCTAGTGGTCAGAGGAGGAACTCCATCCTTCAGAGAAGTTCCTGGTTTATCAGTGAAGGAAGAAGAGAAGCAGAGTTAGAAACCATCAGCAGCTCAGGATGAAGGTCTGTTATACTTTGATCTGCATCCTCTTCCTCAGTGAGTACATCATTTTATTTCTATCAGTTTATTTTCTCTCAGTCCTTCATCTTTTCAAAACCTCACAGTTGATCAGAAAGTTTTTTTCTTACTTCTTGATCAATTTTAATCTGAACTCTGATGTTTCCTCATTTTGTCTTTTTCATTCTTTTGATCTTTGTGATGAGATACGCTGAAGTTTTAAAGCTCAGGATTTAAACTCTGATGATTATGATGCAAAAATGGAAATATAAAATGCATGTAAAGAGGAACAAAGCTTTATGTTAGCACCCATGCAGCTCTGAGTCTGTTGTTTTTGAGAAATGTTGGTTTTTGTTCAGCTCAGACTATTTATAAAAATAGAGGAAACTTCTTATTTTCATCATATTTAGACCAGTTGAGTAAAAACATGAGAGCAGAAGTAACCCAACAAGAGCTGAGACACTAAAACCATCCTAATAAGGTCAAAGCGTAAATGTTTTATTTCTCCAAAGCTTTACTTTATAAATGTTCTCAGAGGAGATTTTATCAGCTGTCAAAGAAACCAGAAGGTTGTTGATCCAAACAGTTATTAAGAGAATTTAGCTGAACTGAAAATGAAAACCGTTAAAAATAGAAATCTGGCTTCTTGGTTTAATTCAGAGCTGCCCACTTTAAAGCAAAATGCTAGGAAACTGGATAGAAAATATCGTTCCACAGGTCTATGGGAATCCTACCTAGTCTGGAAAAATAGTTCAATGCTGTATAAGAGAAGCCTTTGTAAAGCAAGAGCAGCATATTTCTCCTCATTAACAGAGGAGAATACGAATGATCCTAGATTTCTTTTTAATACAGTTGCCAAGCTCACCCAGAGCCATAGCTCTGTTGAACCGTCCATTCCACCTGCTCTTAGCAGGAATTATTTTATAGGATTCTTTATAAATAATATTGATCTTATTAAAAATGAGATCCTTAGCACTCCTCTATCCTCGATTGGTTTGTCTCTGGAAGTTGGGGCAGCATCTGAGGTAGTCATGGAATCTGAATTAGGTTTAAACTGCTTTGATCCAGTTGAACTTTCAGAGTTAGTAAAACTATAGTCTTCATCTAAGCCTTCAACTTTGATGTTAGATCCAGTTCCAACCAGGTTATTTAAGGAGGTATTCCCTTTGATGTCCTCCTCCATTTTAGATGTGATTAATCTATCTCTGTTACAGAGATATGTACCTAAGGCTTTTAAGCTTGCTGGAATTAAACCTCTGCTTAAGAAACCGTCTCTTGACCCAGATGACTTGGTCAATTATAGACCTATATCCAATCTTCCTTTCGTATCTAAAATTCTTGAGAAAGTAGTTGCCAAACAAGTGTGCGATCACTTCCACCATAATGAACTTTTTGAAGAGTTTCAGTCTGGCTTTAGAGCTCATCATAGCACTGAAACAGCTCTGGTGAAAGTCACTAATGATATTCTCATGGCCTCAGATAATGGACTTGTATCTGTGCTCGTCCTGTTGGATCTTAGTGCTGCATTTGATACAGTTGATCATAAAATTCTTTTAGAAAGACTTGAATATTTTGTTAGAATTAAAGGATCAGCACTAAACTGGTTTAAATCTTATCTATCTGATCGATATCAGAACCAACTACCAGTTTTAGTCCGTGAGGCAGACACCCTGTCTACTTTTAAGGCTAGGCTTAAAACTTTCCTTTTTGATAAAGCTTCTAGTTAGAGTGGCTCAGGTTATCCTGAGCTATCTCTATAGTTCTGCTGCTATAGGCTTAGACTGCTGGAGGACATAGGGACCCCTTTTTCATCTATCTGCTTCATTCTATCTCTATTCTCCCACTCTGCAGAATCTGTTAGTTCAATCTCTAACGTTCTGCTCTCTCTGCTTTTTCTCATAGTAGCTTCATCTGGTCTGTTCCTGTTTGGCTGTGACTCCATCCTGGAGAGAAATATCAGCTGTGCTGCTGCCATCAACACCTTTGTTTCTAGATGTTGGAGAACGACCTGTTTTTCAGTGTAGTCCTGTTTCTCTGACCCTGACTGCCTGGATGTGCTCTCTTCATCCTCTGATGGGGAGCTGGCTGGGAGCTCGTCTGCCTGGCTGTGTGTTTCCTGGACTGGGCCAGCTTTTACAGTTGCTTTTTCTATGTCTGCTTCTGTCTCCTTGAACCCCAGTCGGCCTCAGCAGATGGCCGCTCACACTGAGCCTGGTTCTGCTGGAGGTTTCTTCCTGTTAAAAGGAGGTTTTTCCTCTCCACTGTCGCTACAAGCATGCTTAGACTGAGGGATTGCATTTGAGTCAATGAGTCGATGCAATCAACTGGTTTTCTTTAGATAGAAGGTGAACTGGTGAACTGGAAAGTGCCTTGAGATGACATGATGTGAATTGGTGCTATAGAAATGAACTGAATTGAATTGAATCGAACTGGTTTGAGACTCTGGGTTCAATGTGAATTTATTCTAATGCATCCAGGTTCATTTATAACTATATTTCAACTATATTATATTAAACATTGACAGTAACTACTGACTGTTTATCTCCTCAGCATCTCTGCAGGATGGAGAAACTGTGGAAACCTACAGAGGAACGGAAGGAGGAAGCATCACAGTTAGATGTGAATTTAAGAACTCTGGAAGCAGGAGGTTCCTCTGTAAGGAAACCTGTGAAGGAAGAAATATTCTGATTAATACGAATGAGGACATGTTCCAGAGCGGCAGATACAGCATTAGATATGATCACAGAGGAAAATCTAATTATCTGATTGTGAGCATCACAAAGCTGAAAAAGTCAGATTCAGGACGGTACCAGTGTCGCTTAGATAATTCCTCGTATATCTTCTGGACGGAATCTCACTGTGATGATTTTTATCTCTCTGTGACTGAAGGTGAGTTTTTTCTGTTTTTAAATTTTTCACTCAGATTTTCAACAGATCTACTTTAAAGACCAACATGTTCAAACTGACTCATGAAGACAAACATGGATCATAAAATCAAGAAGAATGTAAATTTTGACCTCAGTTGTTCTGATTCTGTTTAATCTCCACATCCTCTGATTCTTCAAAACCAAAATGGACTCTGGGACCTTTTATTAGATCAACTTTTCTCCCAGCAGCCTCCACAACAACAACAACAACAACACAGAGTGTGAGTTCCTCACCTTCTCCATCCTCCTCTGAAACCAGCAGAGTCTCTGAGAAACCAGCTGCAGCTTCAGGTACATTATCTGTTCATGTTTAGATGTTCAGGAGATGATTTGGGTCTGTTAAAGTCCAGCTTTGTTCATCAGTGAGGCTCAGACCTGTTCAAGTTAACAGGGTCAGAGAGTCTAATGTTGAATTAATTTGTATCAGAGCGAATAAAAGCCAATAAAGCATGGAGCATCTGATCAGAGCAGAATGTTCTGAAGGTCTTTGACAGCAGAAGCTGTGTCCTCTGAGTTCAATAGGAGAGAAACCTTCTGTTTTTATCAGCAGCTGATGAAGGAGGAACATTAATGCACATGGCCTGTTTATGAGGAACAGAGCAGCTGATGGGATAAACTAAATCAACTCTTCTATAAACATCCCTGCAGGTCTGCTGCTCTATGTGCTTCTGTCTCTGGTCGCCAAGATCATCTTATTTTCAACTCCTTTGGTGATTTTCTGCAGGAAGAGGAGGCTCACTGAAAGCAGAGGTGAGGAAAAACAAAACACTAAAACAGCTTTTTTTTTCTCCTTACTTTAAAAACAGCATCGATACCAAAGCTCTTCTTAGCCATGAAGGCTTCTTCCATGTTTTCTGCAGAGGGTCATGAAAGTAACCGTCAATAAACAAAGAATCTGAAGATTAGTTCGATAATAATCAGTTATTTCTGCAGATTATTTCTGTTTGTTGCTTCAGATCAAAATCTGCTCTGAGCATCAATCAGCAGATCAGCCTGATACTGAACACGTTTTCTAGGATTTTGTTTCTAGTTCCTGGAAAGTCTCCTAATCTCTGGAAATCAGCAGTTTCAGCTCTGATCTGAATGTTTTTCAGGTCCTGCTGTGGAAACAGAGTTCAGTCAAATCTCTCAGGTGAGTCTGAATCTTTATAAAACACCTGAGTTTCATTATGTGTTTATTAAAATGTCTCAGTGATTCAAATCCTCCTCCTCCTCTTCCTCTCTTCCTGCAGACCAACCGATAGAGGGAGGAGATCAGAGGAGGACAGACAACCATCTGCTGAGGAAACATCTTCACTTTAGACCTGAACTAAACTCTCTTAAAGGGGTCATAGAATGCTAAACCGAGTTTCTAATGTCATCGATGAATAACGATAGTTCAATGGGTGAAATAGATGTACAGAGAAGTTCAAACCCCATCAACACCTCCTTTCTCTGCAAATCTCACAATTCTAAACTTCCACCATAAAACCGGAGAATCCAAATGAAGCCCTGAGTTGACGTAAACTGGGGTATGTTGCCTTATTGGTTCTGGCCTGTACTTTTGTCATGCCTGAAATTGACATCCAGACCAGCCCACTGGTTCACTGGTTCAAGAACATGAATAGAGGTAGATGCAAGACACCAGTTTAGCTGTTTGGCCTACTGTTGGGTTTACTTCTATAAGAATCACAAAGCAGGCACTTTCTCTATTGAAAATGAGCTAGAACCACAGGAGTAAATGCAGCGTTCCAGGCTGTACGGAGAAAGGGGAACATTTTCACAGTCTTCCCAAGGATCCAAAGACTCAACAGGCATGGATTATTTTTGTCTACCAGAAGATCCCTGCAAAGTTTGATGCCCAGCTGCTCATTTGCTTGAAGCATTTTACCAAAGACAGCTTTCAAAATCTTGGACAGTTCAAAGCAGGATCTGCTAAACATCTTTTCCTGAAACGAGGGGCTGTTCCAACCGTCACAACCGCAGGCTGGAAGGATGATTTTGTCGCTAAGCTGCTGATAGCAATACTAGCATATCTATGGTGACCAGATTTGGGTTTCTGAAAAAGAACATACTTTTTTTAGGGGGGAGCTGCTGGGCCCGTGACTGGACCGGACCGGGACCCAGCGGGGATGGAGCGACCGAACCTGACCCCGGGACGGTATTCTTCCACCCGCCTGCCTTACCAGACAGTCGGGGGGAAGCCATGTTGGGGGGAAGCCATGTTGTCCAGGCTACCGTCACCAGGTCGGGTTCGGTCGCTCCGTCCCCCACTTGTGCTCTGTTTCGACTACATGCTGCACTGTAGTCAACCAAAAAATACCAGACGATATTGAAAATCCCCCTGGACATTTTTTTTAGGTGTGAAAAGTAGGACATGTCCAGGGAAAAGAGGACGTCTGGTCACCCTAACATATCAACAATTTGATGTTTCAGTGAGTGAGTGCTTGTTGCTATGATGTGTCTTTGCTCAGCAGCTTTGCTCGTTGTAAACCAACCAATCAGAGCACAGCTCATCTTAATATTCATTAGCATACCATTAAAGGAAGAAAACCTGTCATTTTATTGTAGGGCTTTTAACCAGGCTGCATTAGAGCTTATAGAACAGCAAATATGCCATTTTCAGCCCAATCAATGTTACAGTGGGTACTGGTTGGAAATGGACAGTTTCCTGCGTGATTCCTGCGTGATTCCTGCGTGAATCACGATGTATTTCCTGAGGCCAGTTTTTTTTTTATTTCAAAAAGAACTGCAATGTACCCAGACAACCACCAGGTGGCACTTGGGAGCTCTGCCGTGCTAAAGGTGACGTTTGTGGGCATGCAGTCAACTGAAAAGTTTATTGAGACCATTTGCATAAACAACCAAATCTTCCTTTTGGTCTTTTGTTTTACAAGTTTTGGTAACTTTTTTTCTCCTTAAAGCTACAGTGTGTAATAATTACAGGGATATACAGTCAGAAATGTAATATATTACACATAACTATGTTATTTATCATCATCTACGAGCTCAGCCTCTTAACCTTAATATTTGCGTTGCCTTAGAATTCGTTATTTATAATTACAGAGGAGCGGGTCTCGCAGCCATGGAGGCAGACATCTTTGCGCTACGGCAGCGCAGAGCCAACAAACTAGCGATTGCGAGATCTCCCATTATGCTCGAAAATAACTACGGCAAGTTGAGAGACATGAACTGAGACGGTACTGAACAATAGATGGCAGTATTAAAATTATCTATGTAAACAAACCTCATCACTTGAGAAGGTAGGTGATGCGGACGTCGTGGAAGACATTTTGTCCCGTAACGCTCGCCGTACTGTTGGGGGGGGAGAAGCGGTGGGGGGGAGATGTTCATGTTGCTGCGGTCTGCAGTCTGAACGTTAGATGTCGCTGAAAATTACACACTGTAGCTTTAAACCAGGCTGGTCCGTGGATCATCCGTCCATTCGATCTTAATCCTAGAAGAAAAAGGAAAGGTTTTTCTTTTTGTCACCATCGTTTCAGTCATTAATGCAAAATTGGTCCATGGTGAAGTTTAGAAATGAAAAGAAGAAATCCACACCCGCGAGTATCTATTTTTTTAATGCTGTGACGTTTCGGGCGTTCTTCTTTTAACCTTCATTTTTTATCCAGTATCCAGTCCTCACTATCTGGGATGTGCATGATACCAACATTTACTTCTGTATGAACTTTAGAAATGTGACCGCGTGACTTCACAGTGTTCAGCTGTCACATGATTATTAAATGATGTAGTTATCATATCATGCGTCAGTAACGGGGAGGTTACCTGTTACAGGTGCATGAACACTCTGCTCTTTGAGCTCATTCATGCAGTCTGAGCTTGTTTGGAAATTAAATGTATTCATTAATAGTAGATTATTATAGGCTACTTATAGCTACAGGATATTTGATGCCATGTTATGCAGAAATAATGTTTCTTATATCTTGATCTACATTCACCAATCTGTGGTAAACTAAAACGCTCGGATCTTTCTTTCTGTCATTTTGTTTGCGTGTGTGGCATCTGGAATCCATTGGGAATCCCAGAGGGGGGGAGGGGGGTTCATGCAACGTCATTCCATCACCGTTTCCGGAAGGGGTTCCCCAAGCTCGGTATCCAATCAGCGCCGTCATAGATCCTCCGCAATGTAACGCTCAGATCTTTCTTTCTGTCATTTTATTCTAATTTACTTATAATGGACTTTAAACTAGCAGACACATTTTACAGCCTAATCAATAGAAAATGACGCCAAATGGCATAAACTGACTAATCAGGTTTGACTATGAAAATTCGTAGTTGCGGAAACCCCGAGTACAAGTATTTCATTTTTGGCTTTGGATTTTTGCCATTTTAATTTTTCATTTAAATTGAAAAACGGAAGAAATGGAAATGGGGTTTTTACAGGTTTGCTTAAAAAAAAAGATTTATATAGTAGCCCATAATATAATAGTGAAACATAAAGTCAGGAAAATGTTTCATAGAAAATGTTTTTTATTTGCATTTCAACTCAAATCAATGTATTACTGATAGCAAATGACATGTATCTCTTGGCCCTGGGAATATTACATGCCAGTCGCTCCTCCATTTAAGGCTATGACCTCATCGATTACATTGTTCAGGTGATCTATGTAGTTATTACAGTCCTTTCTGGTGAGTTTGTCCCTCCAAAATGACTCTATAGCAGAGATCAGTTCGTCCCTGCTCTTGGGTTTGGCCTCGCAGCGAATGTATCGTTTCATCGCAGCCCAGACAAACTCGATGGGGTTGAGATCCAGGGACTCAGCTGGTGTTGGTACCCAGTTAATCCCCTCACTTTGGATGCAGGCTCTTGCAATGGTAGCCGTGTGTTTGGGATCATTGTCTTGGAAAAAACGATGTGTAGACATGTGGAAACACTCTCTCAAGTACGGACCCGCAACTTTTTTGATGATCTCTTCTGCAAAAAAGTGTTGATCCATGATACCATCAAAAATGAGAAGCGGGCCAGGGCCACCACGGGAGATTCTGCCCCAGACGTGCAGTTTGACTGGGTGTTTCACTCTAGATTTTGGCATGCCCCTAAAGTTAGTCTTTCTCCAGCACTGCAAAGCAAAACGTTCCAATGCCACAATTGACTCGTCGGTGAAGAAGACATTGTCAAACTTTTGACCAGCAGCCTTCCATTCTTCAGCTTGATGTAGACGCAGTTCTTTGTTTTTTTTCCCGGGTCATTGGAGTAAGTCTGGGCTTCCCAGAATTCCAGCCAAATTCCATCAGGGCCTTTCCCACTGTACATAACCCTATCGTAATGTTGTGCCTTCGTTGTAGAAGCGCTCTCACTTTCTTTGCCGGCAACTCATCATCTTGTTTCAGGATCGTGTCAATTATTTCCAACACCTGAGTGGTCAGTTTTCGTGGCTTTCTGATTTGCTTCTTCACAGGAGAACCACGGCAATGATGCCGAATAGTGCCCAATGAAGGTTGAATCCCACTCGTCTGCAGATGTTTGCCGATGGCCAAAGTCGTCCAGCCTTTCTTCCGCAGACTCCTGATGAGCTCACTGACTTGCGCGTTGATCACAGCCATCTCTGACAACAGCATTGAAACACCACTATTTATACGAGCAGCAGGCACCATTCCCGCGTTTTGTACCGTGCTTTGTTCTATCCACCCCACCCCCTACCCCTGTGCTGAACACTCTTGAAACATCTTGTTGAGGTCAGCAGCTGATCAAACAGCCTGCGATCCTGGAGTGATGAGAACACATTAATCATTGCAGTGCATGGTTACATCGAAGCTTACTGTATCTATGGAGTGAATTTTGTTCCTTTATTGTTGCAAGTGAAGAACAAGTTTTGTAAATGGAAATATAAAAAAATGATTTGGAAACAATTGCAATATTTTAACATTTTTATATTTAATTTTTTAATATTTTAAATACAGTTTTTTGTGAATCCTTTTTTGTCATATTTTATTTCCTTTTATTTTACAGTTTTTATGTTTTCAAATGTTTTTATTTGTCAAGACAATTCATTTGCAGATTTTGTATTTTCACAAGTTTTGTGTTTCATTTTTCTTTTTCAGATCGAGTTTAATCAATTGCATTCTTTTAAAATCGTTACGTATTCACAGATCATTCTATTTTAAGCCCGCTTAAAGA